ACAGGGGTCTGTTCTTGGACCCTTCTTGTGGAACATAGGGTACGACTGGGCCCTTCGCGCCGATTTCCCCCCCGGGCTGGGTGTAATCTGTTACGCAGACGATACCCTCGTGACAGCCCGGGGGGCAAACTTCCAAGAGGCGGCGCGCCTGGCCACAGGGGGAGTCTCCCTGGTGGTCGGGCGCATTGAGGCGCTGGGCTTACGGGTGGCCCTAGATAAGACGGAGGCCCTGTTATTCCATGGGCCCCGTCGTGGTCCACCCCCTGGCGCCTCAATCGTGGTCAACTCGGTCCTCGTACCGGTTCGGGCCCAGATGAAATATCTGGGCCTGATCCTCGACGGGAGGTGGCTCTTCGACGAGCACTTCCGACAGCTTGCTCCAAAGCTGGTCGGCGCTGCGTCTGCCCTAGGGCGACTTTTGCCCAATATAGGTGGACCCAGCGTCGCGACAAGACGGCTGTACACGGGGGTTGTCCGGTCAATGGCACTGTACGGTGCACCGGTGTGGGCGGCGGCTCTGACCGCCCAGAATAGGGTACGCCTCTGGCGCCCTCAGAGGGTAATGGCGGTCAGAGCCATACGCGGTTACCGCACCGTTTCGACGGAGGTGGCATGCGCATTGGCCGGAACTCCCCCGTGGGATTTGGAGGCGGAAGTGCTCGCCGAAGTTTATCGGCGAGTGGCTAACTACCGGGCGGAGAGCGGATTTCGCCCTCCGCCCGAGGATGTGCGCGAGTGGCGCGAAGCCGCTCGCCGAGCCACGATGGCTCGTTGGTCGTTCCGGCTGGAGACCTGGCTTTGCCGCCGTGGAGGCTCTCCAGCCGGTAATCGCCGAGTGGGCAGGGCGGCAGCACGGGACCCTTTCCTTCCGGCTGACGCAGGTGCTTTCCGGGCATGGTTGCTTCGGAAAGTACCTGCACACGGTCGCTAGGAGGGAACTGAGTCCCGCCTGCCACCACTGCGACTGCAGTGAGGACTCGGCCCAGCACACGCTGGCGGTCTGCCCCGCATGGGCGGCGCAGCGCCGGGCCCTCACTGCAGTCATCGGAGTGGATCTCTCGCTACCGGCCGTAGTACGCTCCATGGCCGGTAGCGACAGTTGTTTTACCGCGGTCGCAACCTTCTGCGAGGTAGTAATCTCGCGGAAGGAGGCGGCGGAGAGGGCCCGGGAGGACGACCTCCACTCAGACCCGATCCGCCGCCGGCGAACCGGGCGGCGGAGGCCCGGCTATCACAGCCTCATGCCGCCCTGAGTGTGGCCGCGGGTGGACGGGGTGGGTTTCCCCTCCACCCGCATTAGTTGGCCAGCCGCGAGGGGGCGGCGTCCGCGTGTGCCGGACGTCGCCTATAGAGAGGAACAACACTGAGACGGAGCCCGCACCAGGAGCGGGCTGGCGCTAGGAGGGGTCCGGATGTCTTAACAACAGCTGTTCCCGGATCCCTCCTGTTACAGGCGCAGAGTGGCACACCGTGTGGTTTTAGTCGGTCAGAGTCCGACACACCACCCCGCCGCAAACCCCGGAGGGGTGACGGTCCGAGGGGATTTCCACACGTTAAAAAAAAAAAAAAAAAAAAAAGGGTTTGTGTCAAGTTTTCCTTCTCTCTGCAGTGCTGTTGTCCTGCGTAGTTTTTTCCCTTAGTCGGCTCTTACGACACCCACGGGATGAATAGGGGTGGTGACACTCTGTATTCTTAATCCGTCACCACACGGACACAAGGAGAGGCTTATGTCCAGCAGTGGATTATTAAAGGCTGTTGATGATTGATGATGATAATGAACTGTAAAACCACATTGTATGACCTGCAAATATTTGTTTCGGAGTTTGGGTGTTTTCTATGTACGATATGTATGTTTTACAAAAGAAAAGTTGCACCGACTTCAAACATAACTGACAAAGTGCACTAAAAATTTAAAAATAATTACAAATCTAAGTACATAGTAACAGGTAACATTATAATAGCAATAGTCTCTTGGACGAAGGACGCGTGGGAATTAAGCGCATCAAATACGTTCATCAAAATAAAATTTGAATAACTTTTGAATGCGCAACTGACTCTCTCTCTCTCTTGGCTTGTAGCTTCTGAGATCTCCCTATATTGCGAACTGGATTATGTAGCCATACGATCGGACGTTCTTCGAAGTCTTTATTGTTCACTTTCCGGTCATAACGGGTTTTCATCTTCTCAGACATCTGTTGGCCTGATTGTCTGACATGCTCTTAGATCTCATTCATCTTGTTGCGCAAGTCATTTACTCCGTTATACTGTGTGGGGCGTCAGGGGGTATTCCAGTGATCAAATCTGCGGGCACCCTTAGTTCTCTTCCGAAGTTTGGAAAAGCTAGTGTTACTGAAGTACTTTTGTAGACTGCACTTCGGTATTACAGAAGAAACGGTTGGATGTGTTTGTTCCAATCTCTTTGCCTACTTGCCACAACTTTTGCCAGATACCTCTCCGGTGTTTTGTTAAATCTTTCCACCATCCCGTCCGATTGTGGGTGGTAAGAGGTAGTTCTGGTTTTGTGAGCACCCATCACTCGACACATATCTTGAAATATTTGAGACTCGAAATTTCTGCCTTGGTCACTGTGAATTTCTAAAGGCACTACAAAACGACAGAAGACTTCGTGCACTGATTTATCGGCAACTGTTGAAACCTCTTGGTTGGGGATGGCGAAGACTTCTGGCCACTTGGTGAAGTAATCCATTACATTTCTGCTGGGATGAAAGTTGTGACGTTGCATTTCAAGAACTTAAGAGACGTCTATGCAACACACTTATCTTGGGGTATCCAGATGCGAGTGATACCGGGCTTGGCGGTGTGTTATCGCAGCAGAAAGGTGTTCAAGAAGTTGTTATTGCGTACTTCAGTAAATCTTTGTCAAAACAGGAAAGGAATTACTGCGTCACGAGAAGAGTAACTCTCTTCTCGTGACGCAGTAATTCCGTAAGTTACTGGCCGTAGTGAAGACACTGCAACATTTCTACAAATATTTGGGCGTAAATTCCATCTCCGAACTAACCATGCGGCACTAAAATGGCTACTGCAATTAGTTTGCAAAAAAAACACACTATCGTTTTACGACACAGCGAATTAACATCGAGTTCACGTTGTCGGGGCTATAAAATTTGAGGGTTGCCCTCGATTTCTCTAGGATCCCATCATCGGAGCCTGATTTGGTTGTACTGGGACCACCTCGGGAGCATGCCCTTTCGATTACAAAAATAATTTTGAACATCGGTCCACAATTGACGAAGATAAAATAATAAAAGCGAATTGATAACCTCCTCTTTTGTGTTTTTAAAGTCGGTTAAAAAGGATATAAGTATTCAGTCAATCTAGCTTTCATAGTACAAACTCTGCTTAGTTTGAAACTAGATGGCGTTTTGTGTCAAATGACCGAAAATATTATTATTTACAAATTATATACTTCTACTTTTAAGTAGGTCTTACTCTTACTGGTACTTGTAGTTGCTCATGTAAGTTATTAAAATGTTATCATTAAATTGTAGTTATGTTGATAAAATAGTTTGTAAGCACTTCTTCGAGACACAAGTTCAATTTATTTCGAGCAACCAAAAAATGTATTTTATTTCTAAAAAAACTAGCTGTGCCCGCTACTTCGTACGCCTTAAATTTAGCTTTAGAGATTATGAGAGACAAACTGTATTTGTGTCTTGATAAATTCTGGCGGCACTAATTAAACTATTCTGAATCTGATACTACCACAAATATAAAAAAGGAAATTTGGTGTTCATTAGATATTTTCATTATATTAACTTGAAACTCATTGGCAATAAATATCTGCTGCAAAAAACTGTTGTGGGTTCAAACCCCACATAGGACGACACTTTGTGTGATCCACAAATTGTTTTTTTGATTCTGGGTGTTCTTTGTGTTTGTAAAGTCCCCCGCCACACAGGATATTTTCCTAATGCGGGAGCGATACAAAATCGCGCCTAGAAGCCTGTGAACGCCCCAGAAGGCTACTGCGCCTCTGGAAGGATCTTGGTTGGCTCACCTAGCTAACCAGTCCTCGACGCATAAAGGACCACTCTTGAGTCTAAATTAAAACCGAAGCCCACAACCAATACCAATAACTAATGTGGGAGTTCTTAAAAAAAAAGTCTAATATAGTCCGTGATAGTATATGTCTATCTCCACAGTAATCATTTATATCTTTTACATATTACAAAAAAATATGGGTAATTTAACGCAGTATTATTTCTTATCCAAATAAATACGTTGTGAATTTAATGTAGATCAAAATTGCCGTTTACAGCATATCAATAAAATGAATGTCTTAGAAGAGATCAGAGATTTAAGATACAGAGGCAAAACGGCGGTAGAGGCGTACGTCCATCCTGAGTGGCAGAGACCGGCAAGAGTAGAGCGGGTCTATAAATATTGCACATAAAGATGGCCTATAGTAGTGTTATCATAATAAAACTAAAATTAATTACTCTTCACTGACAACACATAAGTAGGTAGTATCTACATTGCGCCAGTGCGAAACCGGGGCGGAAGTTTATTATAAACTAGCTGGGACCGGCGGTATTACCCGCGTTTGTTGTTATAACCGCGGGCAACGCCGCGGGGCGAAGCTAGTCTAAAAAATTAGCCTAAGTTACTCCTTATGTCATCAGCTCCCGTCTAAATCGGTCCAGCCGTTCCACAGATTACCCGGAACAAACAGACAGACAAAAATTGTAAAAAATGTTATTTTGGCATATGTACCGTGTAAACATAGATATGCATTTAGTAAAAAGCGGTTATTTTAATATTACAAACAGACACTCCAATTTTATTTATTTGTATAGATGATTGTACCTACTCATTATCTAAATAAATATTATTATTCTAGGATATAATTGATTGGTTTTTATTAGGGTGGCTCTGCGGCAGAGTACGACACTAACTTGGGATCGTCATTAAAATTTATATTAGTGATATTGTTCCTATATGAAAATTTATTCTCAACAAAAGCACTTTTGTTGTAGATCGGTAATGCTGTACCACCGCTACTGGGTGCAGCGCTGGGAAGAGAAATCAAGAAAGCCTTAAGTGCCAGCACAGCTACATGAAGCTCAGATAAAAGAAACGTTTTATTACTTAAAATAAGAAGTCATGCAATGTATTTCTTTTTATAACATTCTTTACCTTTCATGTCGTGTTCAAAATAAAGCTACCTTATTCAGACAAATACCATTTATTTTTTTAATACCTTACTTTTTCGTTTAACATTTTTAACTAAAATACTTAGTTCAGCATCTTCCTTTGACTTTTTAGGTTGATGATCTTGAGGTGGTATGTCTGCTGGTCTACGTTTTAATTTCTCTTCGATGAGTTTATCCATATTCTTGGTTTTCTTGAAATTAGGATCACTCGGATCAATATTATAATGATGTGAATTGTAAAGTGCAGAAAATCTTTCATCATTTACATTTATTTCAAAATCTGGCAAAGAATGTTTTTGTTCATTCATTTTATTTTTTAATTTGTTTTTCCTTCTAGATTGCTTACTAATTTCAGATTCTTGAATCTTTTTCAAACTGAAGTGTGATTTATCACCTTCATCATCTAACAACAGTTCCAGCTCAGCTCTTTTCTTTTCTTCATTTTCATCTATAATTACATCATTAATTTTGTGTTTACTTTTAGAGCCTGACTTATGTTTATTGAACTCGGGCTTACTAAATTCTTCAGCAAAATAAGGATCATTCATGTCTACATCCGAAGGTACATCATCTGACATACTATCAGATTTGGACTCATCATCATTTGACTTTTTCTTTTTTAGTTTCTTTTCTTTCTTTTTCTCCTGCCTTTTGTGAAGCAACTTTTCAAATGGCGTCAAGTTCTTGTTTTCTGAAATGAAGAAATATAGACATTTTTAAGCTGTAGATTATGGTAAATGCTTTTAAATATTATACATAAATATAATATATTTATATTTTTTTTTTTTAAACATACCTTCATTCAGTTTCTTTTTTACAAGTTCTTCTGCCTTATCTTTGATTCCTGTGCCCCAAGTTATTTCCATTTCCATATCTTTATTTCTTTTCTTTTCTTCCTTTTTATCTATATCTTCAAGCAGCTTCTTATACCTCTGTATAGAATCATCTTCATTTTCTGACACAGCCTCAACATCTTCAGGTTGATCTTCATCTATGAAAATGTACAAATATGTTATGGATTTACACAATGGTTTACTAATACTATCACCCTCAATTGTAGTTCAGTAGTAGTAACAATAGTCATCTAATTTACAGTACTTTCACTTTTACAGTCACTTTCTTTGCAGCCATATACTAAGAATTCATACATAACAACAAAACGGGTTCATACATAACCGACTAATTATTAGCGTCTGGGAATGCGAAATAAATGGTATTATGTTCTTACTATAGCATCATATTTACGGGAATAGGAAATGATAAGTTCATTGGGTACCTTCACTTTCACTACTTGAAGCTAGGTAGTCTTTTAAATCCAAATCATCAATTTTGGCATCTCGTGCACACTTGATTGTTTCTTTGCGATTTGGGTTTGTGGCATCCCATGTAAGTTCCACTTTTGCTTGTTGTAGTGCAGTTGTAGTAAATAAACGCGGCTTATACTTGGTTAAGTCTGGCAGTTTGGTGCACACTTCTCGAGGTTCCTGACAAGTATAAACAGCATTATTAATTTTTAAGACCTCTACAGAATCTATATCACATATTGTGACACAATGTTAAAGATAACTCAGGATCAGCACTGCTACCAGTTTTCAAGAATTGTTTTGATCGTGATACAATAATTTATCGAGAGTTAATGTCTCTCCGACTCTCCGCAACTAAAAAAAAAAATCGAACAAGTGCGAATCTGTCTGTCTCCCGCACTGGAGGTTTCGTACAAACATAACATAACGATACATAGGTAGTTCGTCCGAATTGGTTATCGAAGATATCTGTTTGAGACCGCAGACACAAATATTTGATGTTGGTATTGACCGTGATTTTATTTAGCCTTTCCTCTCATAAGGTTCAAACCCATTAGAAACGGGCGGTTGTATATCGCCCGGGGCATGTAATGGATTGGCATATTTGACAAAACAGATTGCTTGATTCTCACACGTGTAAATTCACAAACAAAAGCATATGTATTTTTATTTGTGTTTGTACTTCATTGATATTTTAGATGTTAATTTTAACTTAATAGACAACCAAGACAAACACGTGATTTCTTTTCTGGAAGGTTCTCGTCTTTCATACAAAAGAATATCGTTACATAGTATGAAATTAAGTCGCTTTTTTAACTTGTTCGCCTAGATCTTTGAACCTCCGCAACGGATTTTAATGCGGTTTTCACAAATAGAAAGAGTGATTCAAGAGGCTATTTTTATTTTTTACATATTAAAAAAAAAACTATCATTATAATAGTCTAATTAATTACTCCACACTTAAACTACATTAGCTATACTACATCCGTGCGAAGCCGGGGCGGATTTATGTATATAGTCTTACTAGTCATACCTCATCAAAGGTGATATCGTCTGGTATGAATCTCATGTCAAGGCGAGTAGCACTGCTCTCATACTCCCTTCCGTCACATTCGTTGTAAAGGTGGTCGGCTGTTGAAACCGAATTGCACTCAACAACAGCGTAAAAGTACTTAAGCCTATTTAATTGGTATCGGCGTAGCTTCTCCATATGATAAGCTGAACCTGAAATTACATTAAATACCTTTAAGTTTTCTAGTCCTGTGGATGTATTACGTGATCGTCTATACCGGCTGCTACCTCGATAATGGTTGTAAAAGTAAAGACGATATTGTAACGAGTAGAGCATTGGACCAGTTACTGGTGCATAATAAGTATATCATGCTCTAATACTCATGTATACTTGTGCTATGAAGTTTAATATAATAACCAATATTATTATATGGGTGGGACCTGTAGGGCTAGGATTATTTACATGTTCACATACTAGGCTCTGACAACATAAATAATCTGCCCTGATCCCACACCTAGCAGTAAGTAGCAAAACATTTCAACTATTTTTTTTTCCATATAGCTACTGTATTCAGTAAAACATATTTCATATAAATTATTTTTATAGAGTCCAACCTTCTTCATTGGCGTCATCCTCAGGTTGGTCCTCAAGCTTTTGGTCCGTTAATTCTATAGGACCTCGAATTTCTTCCTCCTGCATTCGTTTCAAACCATATTCTGATGGATAGATCTAGAAAGAACATATAAAAAATACTGGTAAGAGAAACTACTATAAAAATGCATGTATTTTATTTCCATTACAGTCAACAACAAAAACATAAGCAGCACATTACAATCTGTATTTAAAACCAAGGCCTAAATATGTGCTTAATTAAACAATGTGGTTAAATATTGTATTAATACGCACCGATATCTTCTTAATATTTCCTCCCGGCGGCACAAATGAATTGAGGAGAACCATAAGATCAATTGCTTTTATGTTATCCCAGTCCATGTTACAGATAGCAAGTCTGAAAAATAATGATAAAACATATGTACTTTAAAACATTAACTAACTACTCGCCTTAACCTGTTTGCTTAGCTGGTGCAACTTATTTATGAATTGGTCGATGTGCAGAATGAAGGTTTGTAAGATATAAGTAAATGTCAGAAGTTAGCCACTCGAACTAAAATTTTCAAAACCGTTTGCGCTAACTGGATACCGAAATTTACAGTAAAATAAAGTGAAATTATAAATTTACACCTAACTGTTTTTGATGCAAAAATCCTACCATTAATGATTTTTTAGCTTGGGAACTTTATTTAGAATTACTGGCAACAGAAAAATGTAAATTAATTATTGTTGTACACTTGAAAGGATAGAGCCAATGCTTACATGGATAGTTTATTTACTCAATTTAATAGCTGGAGTAGGTTAGAGTTGCATGCCTATGACTTGAAGTGTTTGTTGCCAGGAATAATATCAAAAGATATATATCAACTAATATTTTTTCAAAACAATATAAAATATTGGTGTATAAGTGATTATTATCACGAGTGAGTATCACGAAACGGTTTTGACGAAAAATTTAAGTTTCGCTAAAAAAAATAGCAGCAATATGTTCGTTCAACATTATCTATTATTTCACCTTAGACGCAAAGATATGTTAAGTTTTTGAGTTGCTAAATGAAATAAAAAAGTTCAATACATATTTTTATACATGATTATAGGCTTATACAAATTACAAGACTTCATGCAAGCACAGACGTCACACACACACACACACACACACACACACACACACACACACACACACACACACACACACACACACACATACATGCATACACACACACATGCTTGCACATACACTAAAACACACCTTAACGTACATACACATGAGGCATTAGAATATTATTAGCCATACTACAAGCTTAAAATCTATTTCTTTTGTTATAATAATTGTATTAAATTGTTTTTTCTATTACTATATTATTAACTGTAAATGTTATATAATGATGAAAGAGCAGGGTCTCCTGACACAAGTTTATCTACACCTCAGCAATTTTGATAAATGTGTAAACAGTTATTGAAATAAATATTTTTCATTTTTGATATTTCCAGTCATGTGATAATGGAAATTTTGTGTATTGCAACTGATTTCAATTCTACATTTTTCAAAAATATATCAAATTTAGATTACCTTGCTGTTGATTCATCTGTAGTGTTTGCATCTGCATCAAGCTCACCCCATTCATGTTCCAACTCACTGTCCTCTTCAACATCTGTACTTTCCTCCTCGGAAGAACTGTCTGTTTGTAACATACCTATAACAAAAAAAGGTAAAGATTGGAAAATACAAATAAATAAAAATTGTTTAAAAAACCTAAAAAATATGTTTGCCACAATCACTATGGTTTTTATGAAGGTACGGAAAATTATTTTCTAGTTTTGAGTTTGGTTAGATGCAAAAGTGTGTTTTATAGGTTTTTTAAACTATTATTTATTTTTGTTTTTTAATCTTTAATGATGATTATTTTTTCATTAAAGACTAACACAAGACACTATCGTGTTTTCAGATATGGAAAAATCATTAATTCTTTAGATCCTAATCAGGATTTCGGAAACTGGTTCATGATAAGCGAGTGTAATTTCAAATCAATCGAATGTTTTAAAGTGGGTAAAAATCACTTTCAAAGATTCCATTGCATACATACTGGTAAAGCTAATAAAAACATGTTAAATAAGACTCGAAGATTTGTTCTCATTGCTCTAAGAAAACTCTCTTTTTGCCCTTATTCTAACTTCATCTATTGAGTCAATTTGCATATTTGAAGTAGATATGATTAGATAAACTTTTCCTTATATACCTAGGATTACTACCAGTTTACAAATACATTTTACATTTGTGCTGCAAAACAGAGTGCTTGAATTTAGGCAATCATTGTTCATTGAGGCATATATCTAAAGAAATAAACATAATGATAATGGCATGTCAATATTTGAAAATGTAGTATATGTTCATAAAAACAGAGACAGCTTCCTGAAAAGAAGTGATGAACATGCTTTAAACACCAGAAATATAAATAATAATATAATTTTATTTTGACACATTTTACACATGGTTGGCGAATCCCTAACTAGGCAGAGCCTGCAAAAGATAAAAAAGTCATTACGAGGTCAATTTGTCTGAATTTATAATAAAATAACAAGTACAATACAAAGTATTAACAAATTTAAATCCAAAGTGATGCGTAGGCTTGTGTCAGAAGGCTTATTACTCGATTGAGGATTACATAGAAGACAAGAATGCTAGGGATTAATTTAGCACAGGAACAGGAACAGTGGAAATGTATTGTGGGCTAGTGCATTTTTTACTTATTTTTCTCATTTTAAATGTTTTACTTCACTTTCAATGCTCTTCCGTCTTTTTTTTTGTTCACTCTTCATTGCATTCAGTAGATTTTCTTACTTAACAACTGACATACTGGAGCACACATCAAAACAATGTGATATATTTAATGATGCGACTGTTTCTAGCTATGATTAAAAAAAGGATGGCCGTGAGTTTGAATGCCCTTTCTTTTTATAAGGCTCAACTCCTTGGAAAAGGATGGTTGTAGATTGCCACAAACATATAATGCATTAACTTTACTTTTCTAAGCATTTAACAAAACAGATTGTTGCTATTGTGTGTGTTGATATATGACTTTAGAGTCCAAGACATTTTTTTTATGGAATAGGGCAAACAAACAGACGGGTCACCTGACGGAAAGCGACTGCCAGCCTTTGAGGAAGGAGTATGCTCTTTTCTTGAAGGTTTGAATAATTTTTTAACTTTTCTTATGAAATAAAGCCATTTAGAGTTTCAGTTTGATTGATCCCAGCAACAGGACTGCCCTTAGTAAGGTGCATTATTGTTGCTGTGCATTTTACAATCAGTCATTGCGAATAAAGAATGTACAACCATAAAAACATTTTTTTGATTTGGTTAAAATTCAAAATTAAATTCACAGCCCATATTATATACAATTTAAATTTGCAGAACATGATAAAATTATCATTCATCATATTGAGAACAAACTAAAACTTAAATACAAACCTTCTCCTCGAGCATAATCAATTTCAAGGTTTAACAGTCTTGACTTTACTTTTTTATTTAGTTTTCCACGAGTTAATTTATCATTTTGGGTGAGTGTCGAAGTTTTTTCTTCCTTATCAACACTTGGAGGGCGTTTAACAAAACGTCCTAAGTCCGATTTAACACTGTCTTCAGCTTTGTTTCTTTCCTCTGTTTCCTCTTCGTCAGAACTTTCACTTTCTTCTTCTACATCATAATATTTCCGAAGATTCTCTGTAGAAGTTTCATTAATAGGTCGGCCACGCTTATCTACTGAGTATTTTACTTTAAACTTTTCATCATTAAACATGGACTGGAAGCGTTTATCTATCTTAATCTTTCTCTCATGCTTAGGAATTTGTCTATAGCGAGGATCATTTAAATATTTAGTAAAACGATTATCTTTTAGTATATCACCCATGGTCTTATTAAACTGATCAGTGATCGCGTGTATAATATTTAGGAACTTTTTAACACTGCTTCAAGACTCAAATTTTAAGGTTATTTTGTTTATCACTTTATCTGTCTAATGCACGTTGGCCGTAGGGATGGCGATCTGAAATCAATTGTGAAAGATTCGATTTCTCGTTCCAATAATATGATATTTTGAATCAATTTGTAGCACTGAATTGATTCACTGGAACGATATTTCAACCTAGAAAATCGACACTCGATTTTTTCTGTTTTGTTAAAAGCCAAAAAAATATTCACAGCTAGTTGAATGTACTCAACATAAATAATACGTAGAGTAGAGGAGCCCGAATTCAAACGAGAGCTAGCCTTACATGCCTCTAAAAGAGTTCATCAGAACGTGTTAATAATAAGTGCCCCGTTGGTGTTGCTTTTCTACTCTATTCTCCATGCTACTCGACACACGTAAAGGAAAAGCAATTTTTCACTTAGTTATATATAATAGCAATGAAGTACATGACTATCGCTTATGAGTCAATACCCATGATGTTGTAAATTTCAGTGGGTTTGGATTTGTTGTAGCAAATAAACTACCTAAGATTCAAGAGTGCTTTCAACATAAAAAAAAAAGTGTAATACAATACTTTGAACAGAATAAAGAAAAAACAATTAAAAAAAAACATTCATCTCTTTTGCTTTTTACTTTTCTATTCTATTTTCGTTTTGACGCTGTCACACATGAGGTTGTAGAAAAGAGGTTCGTCAATTGATCAATTCTCAACACTCCTCCTTGATCAATTTACAACGTAGCATCTCAAAAAGTCTTCGGTTGAGTGGCTTAGTGAGAATGTCTGCAATCTGCTTGCTGCTCTCGACGTGTTGCAATATCACAGTGTTGCCAACGTGTTGCTGGATGTACTTTCGTGGTATTTCAATGTGTTTCTTTCCTCTGGTTGTCTTTCCTTCGTGTGCGTTCTGTAACATGTGAATAGCTGACATGTTATCGACTTTCAGAGTGATCTGCTAATCATTTTCCAAGATATCAAGTTCCAGTGCGATTCTCTTGATCCAGCATACATCGTCAATCACAGACACTGCGGCTCGGTACTCGGCTTCTGCAGTTGAAGTCGCTACCAAGTCGCTGCTTCTGTGAGTACCAGATCACTGGTCCTCCTCTCATCACCAACACTCCACTCGTCGACTGTCCTGTCTCTGAGTCTCCTCCAAAGTCTGAATCGGTATAGGCCACGAGGTCTTTGCCTCCTCTGAAGTAGATTCCTGCTGTAGCTGTCCCTCTCAAGTACTGAAACACACGTTTCACCATTGCCTGATGGCTTTTCATGGGGTTCTTGCAGAATCAACTGAGATAGTTCACGGCGAAGCTGATGTCTGGCCGAGTGATTGTAACTAAGTACAACAAACTCCCTATCGCCTCACGATAGTTGTTGTTTGCCGGAAGTGCCTCGTCATTCTTGAAGTCTGTCTTCTTGGTGATCATTCCTTGCTTAATGGGTGTTGATGTTGGGTTGCACTGTTCGAGTTTCAATTTTCTCAAGATCTTCTCCGTGTATCGAGGCTGATTCACGAAGATACCATCCTTGTCGATCTTGATTTCCATGCCCAAGTACGTTAACTTGTTCTGTGCTTTCTTGCTGTATGTGATCTGAAATTCCTTGTTTATCTCTCCCAAGAGTCTGTATATTTCTTTTTCATCCTTACCAGCTATCAATCCATCATCAACGAATAGTGAGAGCATAATGCTCTTGTCCTTGTTATAGCAAAATACATGGGTCGTCATTAGTGTTGATCAGGCCTATCTTCTTTTCAAAGTGTGTGGTGACCCTCTCGTTCCACATCCTTGGAGCTTGTTTGAGCCCGTAAAGACTCTTATCCAACTTTTCCTGATCCTTTTCCTGACTAGTCGAGTCGATGCATGGCGGGCTACTGGGCTGAATGTTTCTTGCTACGAGTCTGGCCTTGTATCTTCCGTCTGCCTTCTGTCGAAGTACCCAATGACAAGTGATCGGTGTCACTCCTTCTGGACAGTTCACCTGTTCCCAAGTTTTCATTTCCATTAACGAGTCGTACTCCTCCTGCATTGCTTATTTCCACTTCTCATCTTTGAGTGCTTCACTCACCGGGATGTCTTCCGTTTCACCAATCATGGCTACTTTTGCGCTCTTTCCTCCACGTCTGGAGTCAAGTACGCAGTCTTTCAGTCTCGGTGGCGGTTGCAAAGTTCGACGATCTCGCAAAATTCTTCTTCCTGGCTCTTCTTCTGGCGGTTGTGTACCATTTTTGTTGTTGTTAGTCTCCTCAGCACTTTCTCCAGTTGTCCAGTTTTCCTCTTCTTCGTCTGACTCACTGCTGCTTTCTTCTTGCTTCTCAGGTGTGCCCTCTGTTATCGATGTCTCAAGTTCAGTACCTTGCCTCTGTCGTATCTTTTCCTCGTCGAAGATTACATTGTCCGAAGTGACTACTTCTCTCTTCTCTTTCATATAAATCCTGTAGCAGGGCGAATCGATGTCATAGCCAACCAGAATTCCCTTTTCTGATTTTCTATTTATCTTGCCTCTCTTCTGTGCTTGAGTCAGCACATAACATTCACATCCAAAAGGTCGCAGTTTCTCAATTTTCATTTTTCTTCCAAACCACAGTTCTGCCGGACTTTTCCCTGGTACGTTGCTGGTTCCTGTCTGGTTGATAGTGAAGATCGCGTGGTTCATTGCCTCTGCCCATAGTCTCTCATTCAAACCATCTGCTTGTATCTCTGCCCTGGCTGCCTCGACAATCGTTCTCATCTCTCTTTCGACCCTCCCATTTTGCTCTGGCGTATCTACATTCGTAAAGGTATGAAAGATTCCCAACTTGTCCATCAGCTCTTTCGTTTTTGCATTTTTCAATTCCGTGCCGTTATCAGATCTCAGACTTTTCACTCTTCTTCCCAGTTGATTTTCTACAAGTCTTAGATAGCTTTCAATCTTCGCTTTGGCTTCACTTTTCGTCTTCATAAAGTAACAGGTTCGGTAGTGGGTGAAATCATCTTTCCAAATGAGCCAATACTTTGATCCTCCTAGAGATCGGATGTTCATCTCGCCGGTGTCAACATGCACAAGATCTAATGTTTGCTGGGCTGTCTTGGGGTTGTTCGGGTGTGAGGATCGATGTTGCTTTCCATATGAGCACCCCGTGCACTCATAATTATTCCAGTCATCAACATACTTGATACCTTTTCTTTTCAGTATGTCCTTCACATACTTCACGTTTTGATGGGCGAGTCTTTCATGCCACACTTTGATCGACTGAACCATCAAACTTGTCTCTTCTTCTCTCCTGAGCATCATTTTGAAAAGATTTCCTTTGCGCCTTGCTATTGCCACAATCTCCCTGCCATCCAGACTGTAAAATGTCGACTCCTTTACATTTGCCTTCTGTACATATCCCTTGTCAAGCATCTGACTTAATAAAAAAAGATTAAAGTAAAGATTTGGTACGTAGAACACATCTTCAAGTACCACTGGATACCACTTTTGACCATCAAAAACCTCCATTTCGATGTTCCCACTGCAACGCCATCTAGTCTGGTTGCGTCTCCAATCACAATTGGAATGGACTCGTCCAGTTCATTAAGCTGTACAAACCATTCTCGATGAGACGTCATGTGTTGGCTGGCTCCACAGTCTTGATACCGTGAAATTGCCCTGTTCTTCGAGATGTCGTTGTCCACTGTCGAGAGTGCTGTGGTCAAAAAAGCCTTCTTGATTGGTATTCCATTTGCTGACATATTTCCTTCTTCTCTGAATGGACAGTCCTTTGCGAAATGTCCTTTCTGCTTACAATTATTACATGAGTATTTCTTCTTGCAGTACTCGATGTATTTCTGACATGGCTTTCCTCTGCACTCCTTTATTACGTGACCTTTCTTCACACATTTGTAACATGCGAGCTGTGACTAGTCCTGCTTGCTTGATGACTGTACTTGTTTCACACGTCTTGTCATGAGAGCGTTGCTGGTACTACTCTCTGCGTTTGTCGTCGATTTCTTAAATTGCTCGTACTCAAGCCTTAAACGTTCAATGAGAGTATCTAAGTTCTTTGTAGGTCCGGTCACGTTGTTCCATGATGTTCTGAAATGCGCCAATTTTGGTGGTAAGACACTCAAGATCCTTGTCATGATCCAACTTTCTCTCATAGGATCATTTTCAGTCGACACTTCTTCCATAATCTCCATACAATTCTCTACTGCTGACTTGCTTTCATCATACTCAAAGGTAAAGAATTTAATTTCAGACGTTTCTAAAGTTACATCAGTCTTTGTGCCATATAAAGTAACTAATTTGTCCATCATGTCTTTGGCAGTTTTACAGTTTGCAATTTTGTTCGCTATCTTACTGTTTACATTTAAACCTATCAATGTTTGAGCTTCGACATCTTTCTTTATCCAAGCTGAAACCTTTCCGACTTGCGTGTACGTTACTCAACTCAATACTCAATACTCAATAACTTTATTGCTTCCATAATGTGAATACATAGGTGACAACAATCAAGCGGCAACAATTATGGACCCTGTCGGGCGCAGCACAGTTTGTTTGGGAGAGAGGAAGATAACACAACCACATACAGTAGAATATTTTGTTTCTAATTAATATACTCGTAGTAGGATAAAATCATGGTAACTATACATGTCATGTATTATTATATTTTTAATTATAATCAATATTGTTAGTTTTATTTGTTCATAATTTTAAAATTGATTTAATAATGTATAAAAGAATAAAATATTGTCCGTTATTTATTATTTTAATTATTTATTAGTTGTTATTTTAATTATTTAATTGATTAATTAATATTATTTTAGTAGTCATAAATATATTATATTATGAGAAAATGGAAGAAAAGAGGACACTATTATTTCATCCTAATTTTTTTATTTTGTCTAATCTGGTTATAACAATTATAGAATTTATTATTTTAGAGTATTTTATTTACTTTCCAAATACTCTTTTACGCTGTAGAAACACTTGCTTATTAGGAATAACTTTAATTTATTAACAAAAGTATCAAATTTAGTCTCGTTTTTAATATCAATTGGTAATTTATTATAAATTTTTATGGACATGACCAAAGGACCACGAGAATGCATTATTAGTCTAGAAGGGGGTAGATTTAATCTGTTTTTGTGTCTAAAGGAAAAGTTTGTTTTTTTGTCTTCCCGTTTACTATACAGTGCCGGGTATTTTCGGACAAATTTACTTATTTCTAATATGTATATACTGGGTAATGTTAGGACGCCTAATATCTAGAAATGAGGTTTACAAGTATCTGTTTCTTGTATATTAACTAGAATTCTTATTAACTTTTTTTGTAAGGTGAACATGGTTGCTGCGTCTGCACTATTACCCCCCTAATATCACTCCATAAGATAGCCAAGAAAAGGCGTAGGCGTAGTAGGTGACAAGTGCTGTAGCTAAATCTGTCGACTTTTTGATTTCTCGCAAGGCATAAGCGAATTTTGATAACTTTATTCTGACGTTTTTTACATGTGGTTTCCAATTGATGTTTGAATCTATAGTGATACCTAGCAAGTTAAAATTTTGACACAACATTGACTTGCTGTGCGATGACTGCTCATCTTGACTTCTTTTCGGTCACTTTCCTGGCCTTGCTTCCAACAAAACCCTTTCACAGCTGCCCTGGGCCCATAACATGTTGTAAATTTCAGTGGGTTTGGTTTTGTTGTAGCAAATAAACTAAGATTCAAGAGTGTTTTCAACATAAAAAAAAAGTGTAATACAATACTTTGAACAAAAAAAGAAAACAATTTAAAAACACATTCATCTCTCATCTCTTTTGCTTTTTACTTTTCTATTCTATTTTCGTTTTGACGCTGTCACACATGAGGTTGTAGAAAAGAGGTTCGTCAATTGATGAATTCTCAACACATGATAACTTGCCATTGTTCATTGCTCAACAAGTTAATGTGGCGTAGCGTAGGTACCACAACATTAAAATCTTATAAACACACTATTGTTGCTATCTTTGCAAACCTTACTACTGTTAAGGTTTCTAAATAGCAAGTATGTTATTAATAGCAGTTGAGTTACTTTTACAAAATGTTCACGATTAATCTAACAAATTTTTTTTTTAATCACGATTAAAAAAAAAAATATGAAAAAGTGCTAATAATTAAAAAATTATTAGCACTTTTTCATAAATTAACTGATTTAAAATAATTCATTCCTTTATTACTTCGTCTAATATGTACAGTCACTCTTGGTAGCAAAAAGAGTTTGGTTTTAGCTGTTAAATAATAGTGAGCTCATTCGTAAACGGCGATTAAAACATCGTTTTTTTTTACGTAATTTTTATTTTATGCATATGAAACTTAGAAAACGTAGGAATTCGTTTTGTTGACAACAATTGAACGTTTAGTTATTTCAGTTGTGATAAGTTTTTAAGAAGAATTTATATAATATAGAATATGATAATTGCATAAAAATAGTTAAGATGATTAACTTTATCGTCAACAGCCTTTATCAGTCCACTCCTGGACATAAGCCTCTCCTTAAAGTCGTCACAAAATAAGAAGCCCGTTTTAACGTTCGTTTCTCATTTGACATGCCGCGATAACTTTGTATAAACGTCTATGTAAGAAATTGAAAAATCAAATTCATAATCCTATTATCTATATCGTTATTCTATATCGTTAATTACTATGTTACCCATACACTATCACAACGCGTATCATAAATAAGCATCAAGTTTAACTTTATATTGAAAAAATGCACTCCAAAACACGAATTAATCGTTGATTAATATTCCGACAGGACTTTACTACAATGTCATGTCTTTGGGTTGGTTGCCGTAGTGTTGTAACCGTTAAAAAGCCGTTTTATGGCCGAATAAAATAGAGTTTCTGAAAATCGTTTAGAAAAATTACATTAAAAAAAGAGATAAATGTGTAATTAGTGTATTATTTAATATTTAAACATATAAAAACAAAATCTGATCACATATAGTTTTAGCTTTATTTTGATATTTAATATTAATATTTTGATATTAATCTGGTTTGGTTATTGGTTTGGTTAAAAAAAACGGAGTGGACTCCGGGTTTTTTACCCAAATCATTTCATCATGATATTGAATAAAATAATTCATCCTCATTTTTCTGTCTCAAACGTCATGCCTCATTTTGCAATAGTCACATTTGACAACAGTCCTTAAAAGTCAGTCTATAAAAGAATTATCAAAGCCGTACATAATTTATTTATTTTATTTTATTTATTTATTTTCTTTAAAAACAACTATTTTTACAGGCTTAGCCCAATGCAATAGTGTTATACCACCTACTTATTTATTATAAGAAATAATTCTTAATGCTGTTATTGTGAATTCACTCAGTGAGCAATAAAATAAATCTACTTCTTCCGCAATTATATTCAGAGTACGTAGTGCGCGCGTCAGCGGTGCTTCTCTCTGCAGGTTGGTGCGCCCGCACGGGACAGCCAGCAGCGGCGGCCGGCGGCGCCGCCACACGTATCTGTCCGGAACACATATGCTGACTCGTCCTAACACGTCTTCATTATGTATCCCACCCCTAAGTACCCTAAACAGGTACGAGACGAGTGTGAGTTCCCTTCTGACCCTCAGTTCATTGTATCCCACCATACCCAGAATAAATAACGTGGGATACATTAATGGATACAATGGGTATACTCCATAGTATCTGAAGTACAAAAACCTAACAAATTTATTTTGAACTCGCTCCAACATGAGGCTATATTTAGCTTCATGTGGGGCCCAGTTGACTGCGTTACTCTCTAGCTGACTTCTTACCAACGCGTTATACAATGCTATAATTGTATTTAGGTTTCTAAAGTCCTTTACTGTTCGTAAAACAAAACCCAAATTCCTATAAGCTTTTTTACAGCATTTCACTATGTGATCACGAAATCTTAGCTCAGTGTTAACACAAACCCCTAAATCCCTAACCTCTGTGACCCTTACCATCTGTGTCCCGTCTAAATTATAATTATACGAGATGGGTTCGCGTAAGCGTGAGAAGGTGATAGCCACGCACTTCGAGGTATTAAACTGCAAGAGATTGTCTCTACTCCAGGTTACCACCCTATCTATGTCTGTTTGAAGCTTCTTGCAGTCCTCCAAGTTGTTAATTTGTTTCCTTTCTCTATGTACCTATAGAATGGTTTGTCTATGACCAAGCGGCACGTGATCCATGCGCGTACCGCGTACTGCGCAGTCTTTCGTTCGACATCTTGTGAAGTTGACTGTGCGCTCGTTTATGTTTGATGTTTTTTCTAGACTCGGCTTTGCTTTTGGACTGTTTTTGTTTACCATCATGTTGACCTTGGCTCTTCTATTCCGGACATTGATTAGACATAGCGATTTGGACTCGATTTTGGTGTTTGTTGTTATATTGTACAAACTCTGTTTCAACATGTCGAAAAGAGGACGTACAAGAGGTTGTGAAGAACCGAATACTTCGAACGCGAATCAGCTAATGGTGGACCATTATTACCCGTAACTCAAGTGCAAGATCGCGTAGCAGAAGCACTTGGAATCGGCAAACAAACTATTCGAACCATTTTGAAGGAAAAGTGTGGGTCTTCCGGTACTGACGAAAATGTGTTACATACGCCTAAGAAGAGGAAGAAAAGCAAGCCTGTAACAGGTATTGACACATTTGACGCAGATGCTATTCGAAACCACGTATATGCTTATTACACGAGAAGTGAGTACCCAACTGTAAGTAAGTTGGTGGTATCACTAAGAGAGGCTGGCCTGTTTAGTGGCAGTGCAACATCTTTAATAACAATTATGAAGCAAATTGGTTTCAAATACAAGAAAACCGACAAGAGGAAAATTGTGATGGAACGATATGATATAATTTTGCACAGAGTATCATTCTTGAGGCAAATGAACAAAATTACAAATTGGGATAATGTCATATTTATCGATGAAACTTGGCTGAACTCGAATCATACCGTGCCACAGTCATGGACGGATGATAACAAGGCATCTTGTTCAAAAGTGCGAATGCCAACCTCCCCGAACAGTGCACAATAATTATGGATAATGCACCTTACCATTCAATTCAAATAGATAAGGCACCTACTCAAGCAAGCAAAAAGGCAGATTTAGTGGCGTGGTTACAAAGAAAAGGCGTAGAAGCTGACATGAATTTATTGAAAGCTGAACTGCTGGAATTAGTAAAACAAAATAAACCTGCAAAATTAAGATATAAAATCGATGAATTGGCACTTCAACATGGTCACAAATTGATAAGAACGCCGCCGTACCATTGTTAGTACAATGCTATTGAATTAATCTGGGCTCAGGTCAAAGGATACGCAGCACGTCATAATACAGAGCCACCATTCTCCACTTCGAATATGATGATATTGTTAAAAGAAGCTTGTGATAAAATAACTAAAGAAGATTGGGCAAAAGTGGTAGAAAAGACGCGAAAAATAATAAAGGAAGATTATGATGGAGACGTCAATATTGATAATATTATAGAAAATGAAATAATTATATATACAGGCGACGGTAGCTCATCTGGCTCGTCATCAGAAGAAAATGATTGGTTTCACTTTTCTTGATTTGGTTGTGACTGAGCTAAATTTTTAAATTAAAGACAAATTGATATTTCTTTCCATTGTATCATTTCAAATTGCCTATAACATTAAAGTTTAAGTTATATGCTCTAATTATAACTCAAATCCAATGCACTTTGTGATATATAGTCAAATCAATCAAATACTCTACAAGCTTGAATCGATTTATCGTAAGTATCGTGCACCGAGTCGGATGGTTAATCACTAGTTACGCCACCATGACAAATGTCAAAACGGGCTTCTTATTTTGTGACGACTGTTTGGAAGGAAGTTTTGGCCTACTATGCCACGCTGGCCAGACGGGTTGGTATAGGGTTTGTTTCAAGTTTTCCTTCTCTTTGCAGTGCTGTTGTCTTGCGTAGTTTGCTTCCTCAGTCGCCTCTTACGACACCTACGGGATGAATAGGGGTGGTGACGCTCCGTATTCTTAATCCGTCACCACACGAACAGTTTAACTTTATAAACAGTTTAAATCTTACAAACATCCATCATATATTAGCAGTTGCTAAAAAAATTAAAAAATATAGAACTCAACTGTACTCTGAATCTGAACTAAAGAATTGCCTGATAAAGACAAGCTGACTCTTTCAAAAGAAAATCTCTGTTTTTGAAAAAAAATTATTGATACTGAAATAATTTTTTGGTTCGAACCAGTAATTCCTGAGATTAGAGCGTTCAATCAAACCAATAAACAACCAACGAAACTCTTCAGCTTTACAATATTAGTATAGATAAGAGATCGGTTATTATGGTACCTTTCTTATTTTCCACAAAACGGTTTATTTTCATATTAATATATGAAAACACGAAAAAGAAATAGATTTTTAGGAAATCAATCTTTTATATCTCGATTTTTTTTTGTGAGTCGATTCATAAGCTTGACATTCAAATCGTTCTTCAGACATTCAAAATCTTTTCGGATAGAATCGTCATCCTTAGTTGGCCGTAGGCCTAGGCCATAGAGTATTTGCTAAGGGTTGCATATCAGAAAATATCTCTTTATCGAAATAACGTGTTTTAAATTCAAAAAATTTATATGCATAGGTGATATTTTTATACGAAATCCGAAATCCAGGAAGGTAGTGTTTGTGCCCCCGATCCCTAAAAAAGGCGACCGCTCTGAGCCAACAACAGGCCTATGTTTCTCCGGTACACCACCAGGTAATCACTAGCTACTAAATGAGCGACACTATGGTTTTCGCCGGGGTTGCTTAGTTGGTGATCTTCTGGTCGGGTCTGGAATAAGGCGTTTCCCTCAAAGCTTTCTTCTTATGGGCTTCCCAAGAAATTATGTAACTGCATCACCAGTTTCCTTGCATTAAGAAGAAGAAGCATTAAAGTCGTTATCGACGATGCATGTTTCGACCTGAAATCTGGAAATGCTGGTGTCCTGTTTCTTCTGCATATCAATGACATGTTTCAAACTAGTGATGCGCAAAATGTATCACTGAGCTGAAAAGATTGATACATATCATTTCGCTCAAAAGATATATATCACTCATCTAGCTCACTAGCTCATTTAGCTCACTGACTCGTTTAGCTCACTAGCTCATTGATCCGATTCAATTGATTGGTCTCTCAATTAATTCATTTCTTCATCTAGATTATTCTAGATCGTTTAGCTCAGAATACTCGTATATCACTCACTTCAAGCCTCTCTCGCCATACAAACCTTTCTTTATTTTCATATTCACACATTTATAACCTATTTTTTTTAAATACAATTTTATTCTTTTTTATAAGATTACAAAATTATTAACGCCCTTTTATATAATAATTAAAAATAAGAAAATATTTCTTGTACTTTTTTTAGGTTGTATAATAGAAATCATACATAATTTTATTTTCCTTGTACTTGGCAGGCTTAATTCTTAAGTAATATTAAACTTTGATCCTATAGAAATAATGTACATTTTGCATAAAGAAACTTGCGTGAAGTCAACCATCATGTATCTCACTCATTTATCTTTAGTCTCACTCGCTCATGAAACAAAGATCGGCGTCATTGAGCTAGTGACCTAGTGATCTAGTGAGCTAGTACTGAGTTACTGATATATTCGGAGCAAGTGTAAGTGAGTGATACATTTTATCGTCGTGAATGATATATATCTTTTATATCACTCACTCAGGAGCTACACAACTCTATTTCAAACTAGTAGCATCCATTCATCCATAGTACGGAAGATACCCTATACCAGGCGCCCACCGAGAGTCGAAGTAAACTTGTTTCAGAGGTTTCGCAGGTTTCAGATTGGGGTCGACTAAATCTAGTCTATTTTAACTCATAAAAGACACAGGTTTGCGCATCCACCTCAAAGAAGATACCGTTTGTCGCATCACCTCGATTTAAAAACACCCATGGGCGTACCCACAGTGGGGCAAGGTGGGGCGCTTACCCTCTACCCTAACTTGCATCGGTTTTTTATGTGACAACATTGAAGAACATAGAGCCAAAATTGAGCAAAGGAAATATTTGGTGGCGTAACATTCAATTGACTGCGATATTCTCACAAAGATACGACCTTCAAGAAAAAAGGCCATCCTAAACGACAACGCGCTTGTCACTCCTGAGTGGCAGGCGTTCATGGGTGGTGGTAGTTACTTTTCATACAAAAAAACGATATTTCTCTTATATTTTTTTGAGTCATGCGCTCAGTCAAATAGTTTTATTTATGTTTGCCTATTTACTATCAATAGTTTTAAGTATGGTAACTTGGATGGTTTTATAAACCGAAATAAATCATTAGTAACACAGTAGAATGCCTAAATTACTATCCTCTCTAAATTAATATTTATTTTAACATAAAATAATCTGCGTGAAATGAATAAATTAAATGTCATGCATGAGTTCATGACAGAACTCATGCTTATTCATTCAATATTCATGCTACGGCAAAAGTGAATAGTTGTAAACATACCTTAAATTGTCTTTAACTAAATCTAATAACATTCATTGTGTAAGTCTATGCACTTGTTGATTTCATAATATGAATAGCATTGGAGAAGAATGTACAGAATTAAAGAAGAAATATGATGATTGCTTCAATAGCTGGTTTTCAGAACGATTTTTAAAAGGTGACAACGATGATTCTATGTGCGCTGGAATATTTAAAGTTTATCAGGATTGTGTGAAGGTAAATACTTGCCAATACAGTTTTAATGCAGACAAGTTCAAATAAGTTTTAGGTTATGTGTTCTTATCTTACAATGACTTTTTAGGTTTGAGTTTCCTAAAATCTAAAGATGTGGATAGAAGCTATTCATGACACAAATGTACGAAATAAAGTATGGGAAGCCTATACCTAATATAAAATTTCAAATTTTATTTGCCATCAATTTTGAACATTTCATCATATTTTTTCAGTTAACATCCACCACAGGTCACCTCTAAGATGGCACAGAGCATGAACTTTATGTTGATGTCAATCTAAAACTTAAAAAGCTTGTGCTATTCCATTTAGATATTTAAGTCAAAGAAGCTATCTTTATTTTCTGTTACTTCCCTATTAAAGTTACAAACTGATATTTTTGCCTAAGTTTTGTTCCTTTTATTATTTTTCATAATTTTCAATTACACTCACGGAAGTAAGGTAGCCTTTCTTTGTGCTGCACTTTTATTAATTTGCCTTTAAAAATGGTGTGATGACTATTTAACAGAAAGAGATCACTTTTATGCTGTCTTAATTGTTTAAGAAGAGTAAATATTTGGAATAGTAAATTGTGTATGTTTAGGTAAACAAAAGGTAATTCTGAAGGGAAAACACAAATTGAAACGGCAGGCAAGAATATTTAGATCAATGTGTTGATGACTGCCAAGTGAAATCTCTATGTTTTTATTAGAGGTAAAGTTATAGACGGAGTACATTTTTGTATCAAATACTAAAATGTGACATCATACCTAGCTCCATCATTATCTTTTTGCTCTTTTACCATTTTGTTTTTGGGTTGGTGCAATGAGGTTTCTTCCTTCATTCGCCTCTATCAAGTGTCAGTTTACTGCTTAGTTCCTTTCTAGTGTTAACATCTTTCATGCAGTCTACTCTTATACTATGCATATGTAAATCATACTTGGTATCCAACTATTCTTGAATTACTTACTTTTAAATGTTAATTTGAAGATATTGTTGCACCATAGGATTAAATAGTTTGATTGTATGGAATGTAGAGGACAGCGCCATCTAGTATTGACTCAAGTACATCTATTACGATTGTGGTTAATACGAGTAGTTCTGATCCTTACAGCGCTAGATGGCGCTGCGAGTAACACGTGACTGATTCTGGAATATTCGTGTTTGTTTGGAACAGACTGTCAAATACTAGGAACTTTCTAGTAAAAATGAAAAGCGCAATAAAAGCGGAGCGTGTTGGCCGTTCGACACAGTTTCGTTTTACGGCACAGCGAATTAACATCGGAGTGAAAATCTAGTGTGACTAACAAGATAATATGTAGTGATTCCTAGTAGTGAGTGTAAATACAGTGAAATAAAGTAATTAACTGACATCTTTTATTTATTATATACCCTACTCGTAACAATAGTAATCATCAATAGGGAATATGCACGTGACACCAAAATGGACAAAATATTTTTATTTGCAATTTTTATTGCTAAAAAAAGATACCCATACAATTATTTTTTAAATTTATTATAATTTAAAAGTGAAATTTAATCATCAAAAAATGGCTTTTTTAAGATTCCCTCGCAAATTTCTAAAACGCAACGCTATTGGTTGAATGAAACGTGACGTCAACCTACACTGTCAGGAGTGTCAACAAGTTGTGTGTATTTGTAATATTTGGTTTCTGGTGATTATTTGTTTCATTTTAAGTTATTATTCAATTCCCGTGTAGAAAGACTCAATACAATGACTGAATATACTTTGTCAGGTGCAGTTTTGATATTATTTGGGCATAAAGGAACGGCACAATATTTATAATAAGTTTTTATTGGCTTTTCCATGGTAATAAGTTAATTTTTATCACTCACTTTTTTAACTTTCACAAACTGTGAACTTCACTCCGTTGTTGACATCGAATTCGTCTGAAAGTGTAATCTGACGTCACAAAAAAGCGCGCCAAAATGCACGTGTTCAAATTGCCCCAAAATGATAGTGATTTTAATATTATTTTTTTTGCTTAACGGTTTATATTTCGAATGTGTTATATTTATTTTTGGTAATTTAATAACTAGTAGAATCGTTTAAAAAAAATAAAAAATACATGCATATTCCCTATTCTTGCTCTACTTTAAATGTTGTATTTAATGATTTCGGCGCAATAATGTACTTTAAACATAGCAGTCTAACCTGTTTGATTACTTAATCTACCTAACCTACCTACTTACTATATACAGTAGTAGTATTTTACAATCTGCACTGAGTCAACAGATGACTAAATCAATCCAATTTATCCCAGTTTTGCTGACTAAGGAAACATTAATTCGACTAGGTACAAGTACAAGTGTATAAGTTAATTTTAAACTTAAGAAATAGTCAAGTCACTTTGACAGCTATCTTATTATTTCAGAATGCTATGAAGCAGCAGAATATCGATTTTAAAGAAATCGATAAAGATGTACTAGGTACTGACAGTGAGTTCAAAGCACCACCTTCAGGGAGCAGTAGTTGACAGACACTTAAGTTATGTGCATTTTGGCTAAATGGATGCTGGAATCAACAAGCTATACAACCCAAGAATGACAGTACAAATGTTATCAATTCGGATTCGATATTTCCATTATAATTTTGTAAAGCATTGTAATATCTGTTTGTTTATGCTGTGACTTTAATTCACTGTGTTTAATGTGTTTTAAAATGTAAGAAAGTAGTCTTTTATTTGTAAAGGTGGAAGGAATGTAGAATTTGTTTAACTTTTATTTAAGTAGTTATAATTTTAAATATAGTAGTGATTAAATATTTTAAAACCAACAAGGTATTTTGATAAATGAGTACCAGTATTATATATTCAATAACTTTATAAGTAATTTAACACATAGCAGTCTGATTCCAAACTAGGCAGAGCCTGTACTAAGGTAACTTGCTTGCTGATAAACATTCTTATATATGTTGTAACACATACATATTATAGATAAATTACACCCAGACACAACAAATTATCATTGTGCTCATACCTATGTATGAACGAGGTACGAGTAAACATTGGTTACAATTAGGACTAGTTTTATAAAAGAATACATGTAGTTTGTTTTTCAGTATTTAATTGTATTGATTAAAGTGTAAACTTAAGAATTTCATTATCTCTGACTTGTATCTCTTGGCCTGTACACAAGCCCACGACTTTTCATTTCTCTTATAACACCAGCTGGTAATCGTCCTGATACAGAAATTGCATAAACGCCTTTGCAGAATCTACCTGTCAAACATAAAATTCAATATTGATAAAGAAATTAAAGAAAACTTTCTTGACTAGTACACATTACACTATTGAAGTGAAAATTGGGACTTAATTGTGATATTCAGTATAAATTATATTGATCTTGGTCATGGCTTGAACTCCTATGGGTATGTTACACATTTTTCAGAGGAATACAAATTGAAATGCCCTAAAACTATTTTCAAGGAGGTTCTGGTTGTCCTACTAATCCAGCGGGTTCAAATCCTAAATTAACTCCATATCTGAACCGAAGCACATAGGATACTAATCTACTAGTCAGCCTTTTCTAGTCCACTGCCGGACATAGGCCTCTCCTTAGAATGGAGGTTTTGGCCTACTATACCACACTGGCCAGATGACACCCACAGGATGAATAGGGTTGGTGACACACTGTATTCTTAATCCGTCACCACATGGACAGTATCTAGATTATGATGTACTAAGAATCAGTACATAATCTAGCTACAATAAACTAGTATTAGTTATCTGTAAAAACATTTATTCTATAAATTTCGACTCATGGAGTTCACTAAGCAAGTAGGCAACCAGCATCTTGCTCAGTAGAGGAATGGGATATTTTGCACTAAGAACTGTTTAACAGACTGTAGGAAAACTGGTATTGTGCAGTCATTCAAAATCTTTTAAATCTTAAATAAATATAATAATATATACATATATGTATATATAATAAAATAATAAATCTTCTTTTTTTTTCTTTAAAAGATTTTACTAAATAATTGAGAGAAGGTAGTAAACCTTGGTGTTAAACTAAAGTGATACATAATTGAAGTTTTGTAGCACTTGGTTGAAAAATTACATATTAAGCCTTTATATTCGACCTGCATTAAAATGAATGATATACATTTCTTCATCATCATCATCAGCCCATTATAGTCCACTGCTAGAGATCGATTTTGGGCTAAAAATTCAGATTTATTTCTTGAAAAAGTCAAATTCTGTTTGGAAATGTCAGTTGGTCATACTAAGTGCTTATCTATATCATCTAAAACTTACTTATTCTCTGCCACTTGCATACCCAACTATCTTCAGGGGACATAACAGCTATCATTCTGTAAAAAAGTAAGATATTTTTTTATGGTATAGCGGACAAATGAGCCAACAATGAGTCACTTTATTGTAAGTAAATACCACTGCCCATAGATGAGTGCAACTCACATCATCACATCAACAGCTGGACATAGGCCTCTTCTTAGAAAGTAGGTTTTGGCCTACTATACCATACTGGCCAGACGGGTTCGTATAGGGTCTGTTTCAAGTATTCCTTTTCTTTCAAGTGCTGTTGTCCTGCAGAGTTTGCTCCCTTAGTTGGCTCTTACGACACACATGGGATGAATAGGGTGGCACTCCATATTTTTAATCCGTCACCACCTCGTGCAACTCAAGGGAGTTCCCTTGAGTGCAACTCAAGAGGCATGAATGTGTTAGAGTGGCCGCTTTTAGAATTAGAAGGCAGGAGGGCTAGACCTCGGGTAACCTCAATCACTCAGTGGAGAGTGATGGAAGAATTCCTGTGACTATGATATCACTTCATGGCTCTCCCACATCTGTTTCAAGAACCAGTGTTCGGAATGACTGGCAGTGTTAGTCACATGTGATGCATAAGGCAGAGGTTTACATGGCCAAAACTAATGTGAGGCTTATGAACACATAGTTCAGAATACACAAAACAAAAAGTATATTATACTAGCTGACCCGGCAAACATTGTTTTGCCATATACATTATTTCTAGGAAATATGTAAAACAAATTAAGGATTGTTGTCATTTAGGGAAAAATAGATGGTGGCCGATTCTCAGACCTACCCGATGTGCACACAAAATTTCTTAAAAATCCGTTTCGGAGGAGTATGGTAACTAACATTGTGACACAAGAATTTTATATATTTTTATATATAAGATTTGTTTGTTTAGGTTATAAATATCCTTGGTCATTAATATCACTAAGTATGTTTTAACTTAATCAACACTCATAGAATTTCAGGTATATAGTGTGTCCATTACTTTTGGTAATATTTATTTTTTAAGTACAATATTTTAAAATTCCATGGATTAATCTATTTCAGAATGTACCTGATTATAATAGAATATCATAACATATGCATTTATATATCAACATACCCATCAAAGTTATTACTAGTGCAGTCATAAACATTGTCTTTATTATTCTTCATGCGGAGAAACTCATCACAATTATCGCAACCCTCGTACTCAAACTGATCAAACGTCTGTAATATCAAAAGGCGAAAATAAATGGACGATATAAATTATAGATTGTTAAATAGAGCGTTAAGAGGGATTGTAAAAAGAGATTCACAAAACTTAGAAATCATTACATGAAATTAATGACAACGAACCTTGATCAATGAGCACACTAAACAGGCACGCAGACCTCTAAGATCTTTGGGAACAGTGTCTAAGGACATCTTAATGTCAATATCACTCTCTCTATAGGGATCTTAAATTTAATGAAAGCTCATATTACTGTTCACTCGTAAAGTTGTTAATGGACACGACTGTAGCTGGCGTGTAATTATTTTTCACAATTTCTCGAATAAGCAAGCTGTCACTTCTGACAGTTTTAACATTTTTTTTTAATTATTTTTGTTCATGACCATAGATACAAGTCTTTCAGTCGAAAACATAGATGGGTTTAAACTTACTTAGGATAGTTAGGTAGTTGAAGATACTTATTGTTAAGTCACATTTTTCATTATATACTAGTGATGTGCCGGATCGTTAACAAAGTATATCCGCGGATACGGATCCGAATACGGATATTTGGTGTCAAGATCCGCGGATACGGATACGGATACGGATCATAAGTTTCTTAGTCAATCGGAGCCTGTGACCTTGATAGTTGTCGCCACTTGACGCTTTGCCGTTGATATTTAAATATTTCATTATTTTAATAAGCTAATACAAAGATGTTTGATTGATCTCATTATAATGATAGCTCTTTCAGTACCTACGACCTGCCTAGTTGATATAGTATAGTACGATAAATGATTACAAACAAAGTAGCCAAATATTTGTTTTAAGAAATAAAAAGTAATCTGAACAGAATTCAATAGTTTTTCATAGCTACCTAATAACCGTTATTCAGGGTTATTTTAAATTTACTGAAAACCTCGGAAGTGCATATTAGTAAAATTATAAACAACTTTTCTTCTGGACTAACACCGAAAACGAAAGAAAAAAAATTGTTTCTCTATGCAAAATAACAACATTTGATTGGTTATTTGAATGGAGAACCAATTTTTTTTCATTTTGACGTTGGCCAGAAAAAAGTTGCTGTTTATAGTGTTACAAACACATACCTAAGAGTTTTACAGTGAATACAAAATCACCTATATAGAATTTCATCTAAGTAATATGTATTGAAAGATCCGCCAAAAAAGTCACGGATACGGATACGGTTACGGATCTCTCTTCTCCCTTGGATATCCGCGGTTACGGATACGGATACGGATATCCGGCACATCACTATTATATACCATATTAATAAACATAGGATTCCTTCTGTTTTCATATGAATATGTTTTTCATGTTACTAAATTGCCGCCCTTTAAGTTTGGCTGGGTACATCTCAGTGATATCAACGTTACAGTATTTATCTAAATTACAACTAATTGAAATATACATTTATAATTACTATGGACTAAATTTTTTCTACCGTATTACATATATATTTATTTATCGCATTATTTTTTTTCTTATTAGCTAATAAATCCTGAACGCGGCGAGGAACACTTTGTTGATGTTCACTTTCAATGTCATTGTCATCTGTGTTCTCATAAAGTTCACTGACCAAAATCAAACGTTGAATGTTAAAACTTGTGCACTGTAAGATAATATGATCCAAATCAGCTTCCTCTGTATAGGTCCTCCTGAATCTTGTACAGGTGAGCTGGTGTTAAGCAATGTCCCAATCTCATGCGTGATATAACAGTTATAAATTTTCTTGTGATAAATTTGAAATTATGATACCAAGGTTTAATCGGTAATCATTGATATAATACTTACATAGATGAGTAATTACCGCCTAAAATCGTTGCTACTGCACATATGGCCACAGGCATATGCGTAGCAAACGTCAATTCATTATTCAATGTGGCGTCAACCGAGTTGAACATAGCGACACATGACAGTAACAATCGCCAAAATGGCTAAATGCGTAGTGAAAGAATGCGATTCAAGGTCACAAAACATTAATAAATCATGCGGAATTACTTTTCACGTGTAAGTTTATGGTTTTTGTATTGATAATATCGTAAATAAGGCTATAATTGAAATAAAACACTGATAATTGTAATTTAGAATCAGTGTTACCATTAAAAAATCATTTTGGTTTTCCCACATTAGTGGGAGAATTTATAATTTATGAAATAATATGCTTTATACTGTTTTTAAACATTTTGCCAATAATAATAAAATATAGTAAGAACGGTAGTTGTTAGGGCTGGACCGATCCCTTTTTTTAGGGACCCGTTGAACGTTCACTGCGAGCTTGGCAGAAGTGCCAAGCTCGCAGTGCTGGAGACTTTTGTACAAAAAAATTAATTCATTGTTTTTCTTAATTTATTATCAATTTTAAATAATAATTGTACAAAATAATAATAATAATAATAATAAATGTTTATCACAAAAATAAAAATATAAAATAAAAAAGTAAATAAACATAAATATTTTTTTTTATAAAATAAAAAAATTTTTTTTTTTTTTTTATTTGTTTTTTAAATTATAATAGAATTTGCAATACACCCTGGGGATTATTTATTATCAGTACAAGTTGATCATTCACTTTTATTATTAAATGCTATTATTTTTACATACGTAAAAATAAGATTGTATCATGAAAGTAAAATATCCACACAAACTTATAAAGAAGAGTCTAAAAGACAATTGTATACAAAACTGATGCTTCACAACGCAGTTTGATTTTACACTGAATATAAACCCTTTTAACCAAATATTTCCAGTTATTTTATTATTTATACCTATTCTATTCAATTCGAAATATATTATTTAGAATATTTAAATTAATTTATTTTATTACAAAATTGTTTAAAAAAAAAATTGTTTCTTAGTTGTTATGGGTAAAATTTCATACGGTAGTCAACACTGGCCCACCATCGTAAAGTTATATCTTTGTCTTTGTCTAATCCGAGTGATGGTATTGTTCTTGTCTCGCGTGTAAATGAGACATAAATATGTTTACTTTCAAATGTTTAGTGGTATCAAAGCTACGTCGTCAAAGTTCAAAAGTGGTTACACTTTTTTCGACGTGTGATAATGAGGTTTGCTTCTCTAGTGTTGTTTTAACTCAATGTCGGTAATTCGTTTTGTATTCCAGCATACCATCTGCCTTTCGTTTCCAGGGTTATGTCCCAATACTCCTTCCGTAACTGTCTATTACGTTCTTTAAAAAGGCTGTATAATAGTAATCGGTGAATGGAACCTTGAGTAAATCAGATTGATCCTCATCATGGTCTGAACGGGCCGTAGTGTCAGCTACTTCATTTCCACGAATGCCACTGTGTGAAGGTACCCATACTAATTATACTCTAACATGTTTATCAAGTAGTTTTTGTATTAAGTCTAATATTATAAATAATATAATTTAACTTAAAAGAAATATTTACGTTAGTTAGAGCGGACAAAATACTTCTGGAATTTGTAACTATCAAAATATTATGTACATTTACAAGACTATCTACATGCTGCAGTGCACAATAGATTGCATAGCATTCTGCAGTGAAAATGCTACAAACTCTGTTTAATTTAATACATTTAGTGTAGTCTAGCTGTGGATCATGGAAAGCTTCATTTACATTGTGATCTGTTTTAGATCCATCTGTGTATATAACATGATATTCTGGTCTATTGTCTTTAAATTGTAACAAATCAAATTGATTGTGCACTGTCCAAGTGGATTGCAAAGTTGTTAATAATACTATTATAAGGAATTTTGTATATAGGCCAAATATCATTTTTAACAATATCTTTTGAATTATTATTTACATATTTAAATATTGTTGAAATTTCAGGTAGAGTTACACCAACCAAAGAGGAACTGAAATGGCATCGGGAGCAATTGACTGTGAGATTTCGGGATGTAATGTTAGTTTCCTAATTAAAGGATTATCGTTTGATGCCATGACTTTTAATAAAAATCTCTCAGCCAATAACAACCTTCAAAATGTCAAGGGAGGTATACACATCTCGATTTCTAATGAATTAATAGGTGTGGAGCGCATAGCACCACAAATAAGTCTCAGTCCCATATTTTGAATTACATCTAATTTTCATAACAAGGTGCTATTGGCATTCATGTAAGCTAGACTGCTGTAATCAAAATGGCTTATCACTATACTTTTGTATAGCATACTCATAACTTTGGGATCAGATCCCTAGAAACTTCCTGCTAAATGTCTCAATATATTAATACCATTCAATGCTTTGTTACTTATATGTTCAATATGCTCATCAAACTTTAATTTATTATCAATAATGACGCCAAGGAATTTATGTTGTTTAACAACAGGAATTTCTATATTGTTGTATGAAATTTTAACCTTGTTATGAGTATTTTCATTTCTATTGATACCTAAAACTGAACTCTTTTCTGGACTTATTTCTAATTTAAGTTTACTATGATAATAGCTGTATAACTGAAACAAAGCCTTATTAATATTAGCCACTGCTATATCTATGTTTTGATTTATACTGTAAAAATGCAAATCATCTGCAAATTTCAGGATATTAACATCTGATATATCTACATATTTTAATATTTCAGAAGTATACAAGTTATAAAGCAAGGGAGACAAAGTTGCCCCTTGCATTGTGCCTTTGTTGACAGTCCTAGATCCATGCAATTTATTATTATATTTAACAAATACAGATCTATTGTTTAAAAAGGAATAGAGCCATTTTAGAATGTGACCAGGTATACCGATATCATGAGATACTTGAATGAGTTCTTCTATGTTTACATTGTCAAAAGCACCTTTTACGTCTAAAAACACACAGATTGCATTAGAGTGACTTAATTTAACCTGTCTTACATCAGATAATAAAGATACAAAGCTTTCAGAGCAAGCTTACCTTTTCTGAAGCCAAACTGTATAATAGGTCTTTACCTATGAAATTGCCGTTTTGTATGCAATAAGTGAAAGTACTTATTTTTTCAAACTTTTTTATTTCTGTTATTCGAAGTAATCACCCATGCAATCGACGCATCTTTGCCAACGCAGTGGCAGTTTATTGATGCCCTTCTTGTAAAAATCAGCTGGACGGGAGGCAACAAACTCTTCAAAGGCAAATGCCTTTGAAGAGTTTGTTGAAAAAATTCAATTCCCGAGAGGCAGTACAAAATTGTACTGTCTCTCGGGAATTGAATTTTTTACCCACTATAAAGTTGTCTAAATTTTGGAAAAAGTAATAGTCTGTAATATAATGTAGTGTAATAGTCTGTAATGTAGTGTAGTAATAGAGAGAGAAGAAGCACTATTTACAGGTTTATTAGGTTTTAAAATTGGAATGACACATTGTGTTTTCCAAGATTTTGGTATTACTAATTCATCCCATAGTTTATTATAAATAATAAGTAATATTGTTTGTAATTTTTTGAATAACATGTAAGGTATATCATCCAATCCCGGTGTAGTATCTTTCCTACTCTTTAAACATGTTTTTAGCTCTTCTATAGTAAAACTGTAGCATTTTCGAATAAATACTCAAGCCTATTGTCGTCTATTTCAGTAGAATCTGCTAAGTTCTCTAAAAAACTTGAAACCCACTCATCATAGAAATTTTTGTTTCGATTTGTTCCAATTTTTTAAAATTTTGTAATGTATCCCCATATCCTGGAAACTGGAGTTAACCTATTAAAACTACTACACAAAGTTTGCCAAGAAGAAGATCTTTCTTCCTTCAGAATTCTTTTCCTTTTTGCATCTATTCTTTTATACTTTATCCAGTGTTCAATGTTGGGTTGAGAAAAGTAATACTTTAATGCATCTTTTGAATAGCAATAGCATAGGTGTTTCTGGTGCTAATAGCTTCAGCCAGATTAACCAGTAATGCCCTAGAACAGATCTGGGGATTATCTGCGTATTGGTGGTAGGAAGAAGATAGATCATGAGTGATAGTTTTGATAAAAACAGAGAAACACACCGGCTGTAGTACTACACCAAGAAGAAACAGTGCTTTCAAAACTAATGCAACCAAACATAGCTGTTTGGTTGCATTAGTTGTGAAACCAGTCAATCGCAGTTGGAGATATGTTAAGAGAGCGTAATATACACAGCAGAACGTCAAAATCGACAGTTTTGAACGCATTACTGAAGTCCAGCAGTGTTAGAACTGTAAACTAACTACTAAACTAACTTTTCCATAGCAGATCTGATATCTTTAGTAATATGGACTAAGTTAGTAGTGGTCGGGCACGCCGTCATCGCGGCGGTAAGACTCGTTATGGAGGATTGGCTCGAGAGGCATCACGGGACCCTCTCATACCGACTGACGCAAGTGATCACTGGGAAAGGATGTTTCGGGGATCACCTGTGTCTGATCCGCAAGGAGCCAACGCCTGAGTGCCACCACTGCAATGGTCGGACCGTGGACATGGCGCTCCACACGCTGGCAGAATGCCCGGCGTGGGTGGAGCAGAGGTGCGACCTCGTGGCAGCCATCGGAGTGGGAGTTCTCTCGCTCGATAACCTGATTGCGGCTATCGTGCGGAGCGAGAGTGCGTGGAACTCTGACATCTCCTTCTGCGAACAAGTTATGCACCGGGTCGTTCTGCCTGAGGCGCCGGAGGTCGCAGACGACCCGGAAAACTTTGGGAGCAACTTTGTCTAAATAAGTAAGGTTATGAATATCAAGTGTATATTATATAAAATAACGTAAATTATTGTAGATTATCTTTGTTAAGTTAAAAAGAAATAGCTTAACTAGTTCAGTTGATTAAAATTTTAGTTCAATTATTTTTCTATTCTAATATTATACTACGATAATAAGTAAAAAATTGCAGAAAAGAGACAGGCATTGGCCGCACAGTCGCTTTGTCGTGTGCGTTACCCCAGCAAAATAATGTCGAAAATGGTCATTTAAACTTTATAGATAATTAGTTGCTCCCCTTCTGTAATTGTTAGGCACATTTTTAAATTTGTTTCACTTAAACTTTTTTAGTTATTTCAAAAAAACATTTCCTGCTGGGGTAACGTTTGAAACGTTACCGCAGCCAGACATTTTCTTTTTTAATTGTAATATTGAAATAAATTTTAGCTAGATAATTAGTTATCTGGACTAGGTAAATGTTAAAACTTATTTGGTATTTGTATTTTCTTCGGCTGCGAAGTTATTCGAAATCCTGCTGGAGTAACGTTTGTGGGTTTGCTGGATCTCTGAAACGGGTAAGCGGATTGTAACCATCTTTTGTACATAACTTCTTAAGGATTAGTTTTAATTTGTTCGACAATAAAATAACAAAAATAATGGACCGTTTAAAAATTATTTAGGTAAGTATGAAAACACTTCAATACGTCCTAACACTTTAAATAAGACCTCTAAAGACTTACTTCAAACGTTATTCTATTGCTTGTAACTACCTTCAAATGTATACGAATTTTCGTAAGAATACTGTAAGTGACTAAAAAGTTATGATGAAATGTAGCTCTCCACGTTCACGATCACAATGTGTGCGGCCTTTTTTGGCCACCGATAAACCTGTGTGTGGATATATAAACTGAATGTTATGCCAATAATTAGTTGTTTAGTTCAGTTGTCTACCTGTAGAATTTCAGCATCGTACATATAATAATTTACGAGATAATTAAATAAAAGTCATTAGAAGGTGCAAGTCCGTGGTAATCCGACCATGTTTAGGTGGTTACAAAAAAGCGATCACCCAGTACATTGGGCTGTCTTTTAAAATGTTTAGTGTAATACACCTTACGATTTCGGTGCAGTTGCGTACAGTGTTAAATACATTCAATATTTATTCATTATTATTACCTATTATTTATTTTGTTTTTTCCGTAATTGATCTTAAGCACTAGTTTCTTTACTTAAAATTTCTTTAGTCTTTTTTACTACCGGAGCTACAATCAACAGAAAATCTGCACTGGTCCGCTAAAATTATAAATATGTAGATACATGTATGAACGATTCACCTGACTGCAATAAATCGAAAATTTAAACCAATAAGAAATCGTTTCATTTCTTTGATTTTTTTTTGTAAACACTAAAGTAATTGTATTTTATTTTGGGGTGTATAGAGCTTAGACTTGAATGCATCAAAATATTTAAAGCAACAAGTCATCTACAATAAGTTAAAATAGACCGAATAGTAGAAGAATACAGTTGTAAATTAGAATGCATTAACATTGCATCGCCCAACAGTCGTATACCTCGTAAGAGTAGGTAATATTGTTCTGTGGTCTATACCGAGAACCGAGAATTATCTATACCTATGTACCTACCGTTAAGCGTTGAGCCCGTGACTGTTGATTTCTGTTAAAAACGAACAGTTGTTGAATGATATTTTGATATAATAACGGTAATTTAATTTATCGAGTGAAAGTGATACATTTTTATAGATAAAATTATTGGTCAGATAATATTTGTCAATCAAGAATCGCTGATAATACATCCTTCGCTAGAACGCGGGAGGGGAGGGGCGAAGGGATACTTTATTGTTTGCAATTTGCATCTAGTGCACTAAACTTGACCCTTAGGCAGATAATATACGTGTTGTAAAGTACGTGTGCGCTTCCGCTTTCTATTCTTGAGAGTTCTTCAATATGTGTGTACCTAATTACTAATAATGGGCATTAATGCTAATTCGATTCAATTTAAGTAATTGTCAATTCTTGTCTTAGGATATTAATTACTAATGCTAATATTGAAATTTTGTTCAGGGTGAACAAATTAAAAACGATCATAACTTGTAGGTATATCACTTATTACTAATTTTACATAAATAATTTATTTTATTATAATTTAACTCACCGCGATTTTGTGATCAAATATTTTATTTTCTCCAACATTATTACAGAAATATTGCAATACAGAGTTTGTTCGCGATATGCTAGCCTAAGTCGATTCATCACTTAAAAAAATCCCCAT